TCCCCAACTTGTTGTGGTCTCCTGTTGCGGCTAATTAAAATTAGGAAAATGAAACCTGGCAGCGGCAACTTTTGCCATTGTCATTTAGGCGCAGGGATTGTCTGACTTCGTATCCGGAATCCGTTGGTTGTATGTTGGTTGTGACCCTCCTCGAGCCACTATCCCGGACGTGTGACGTGGCAACTGCAAAACGCGAGCGTGTGTGTCCTGTATATCCTTGGACAGTTTTGTGATTTCACAACTGTTTCATGGCCATGTTCAGTTATGTTTCATTGTCCTGTTGTCCTCGTTTCGTTTCATTCTTTTTTATTTTTTTTTTCTGTTTTCGTCTGTCGGAGTCAGTTAATTAATCTTGTCACTTGTCACCCGAAGTTTCTGGCTTAGCGCGGCTTGCTGTTATTTCTGTGCTGCCATTAATGCCACCTGACGTCATGTCAGCTCACACCTTTTCATGTGAGCCGTTCAGAGGATTGAACTGGGTGTGGCTGAGGACAATTGTTTAATTTATGAACCAACTGCAAAGTGGTTATGTGGGTTAATAGTTAATAATGGCTGGTAAATTAACTCGCAAGTGACCTTAATAGCTAGGTAATGTACAGGGCAATTTTTTGACTATTTATAGACAGTGTTTAAATTTAATCTTATGACTTACATGAAAACAGTATAGTTTATTATTAAATAGTGTGTATACTTTCTGGGAAATGACATATTTGTTATTAAATTGCTAATGTATTCTACCAGGCAATTCGGATTTCACCTTTAACGCAGCAATTAAACCAAGCTGTCATAAATACATCTGAGGGACTTAAAGAACCAACGACTACACCCAGAGGTTATTATTTCTCATTATCTGAAGATATTTTCCTGTCTTTGGCTGTGCTTCTTGTTTGGATATACTATCTCTCTGGCCGGTTGCAGGTATTATTGATGACGTTTCCCTTAACGAACTCCCAGACAGCACAGCTCCTTCACATGCTCGTACTTATCGTGCGCATATAAAAGTCAAGAGAAATCGCCAGCGTGTTCAGGTGATTGCAGGCTGTTGCTGGTCTCTTTTTGTTCCTCATCCCTGGATGCCAACTTCGGACACCGCCCACTACCCACCTCCCCCTCGATGGTGGATGAGTATATGTGGTATATGTATTGCAGGTGGCAAAGCATAAAACTTCATTATTGTGTCGTGTCGCTTACGTGCGATGATGGCAATAGAATGCCGTTAACATCTGGCAGTCGCATCAGCGGGAATGATACCGCAAAATAGCAGCAGCAACAACAACAGCAATAGCAACGTGCAACACGGCGAGGGGCAACAACAAAAGCAATATATCATGAGTCCAGCTTTTAGCAAGCTTTTCATAATCAGTGATGCATTGCCAACAGCTAGCAGCTGACAACCATGAAGAGCAGTACACTCAACGAAAATTAAGCCCCTGACATACAAAGCATCATGATGATTTTATTTTTAAACGCATCTACGAAAGTTTTATCAGTCATTATTTCATCGATTTTAGAATACAGGTAATGAAATTAACTATCTGGATCATTGATCTTTATTTACTTTCCTTCTAAATACAATTGATTTTCCATCAAACATTTTACTCGTGTATAGAGGGCGCGAGAAATGGCAGCCATGTGAATGACATGACATTGTTGTGACTCACCGCTTTGGCTGCTCTTGTTGTTATTGCTGCCTGACATAAATCCATATTTTGTACAGAAAATTTCACGATTGGCCGGCAAGGACAGCAACAAAAGCGAATCATAGGTGGAAAGCCGGGGAAATTGCTAAAAATTTCCAATTAACTTTAAAGTTGAAGGAGTGCCAAGAAGAAATGCTGACCGTGGTGAATGACAATGACACCGTCGTATTTCGTACACCGGTCGCCTTCGCCATGTGCCGTGCAGCATAAATCCTATTTGAAGATGACAAAATATTCAGGGAATTCTCTCTGGCTGTCTTCCTCTAACCCGAAACTATCTCGCTTGCTCCTTGTGGTGCCATCTTTGTCTCGCCTTGTGTCCATCATTCTTCATTTAGTGACCCGACACGAGCGTAGGATGTCAGCAGCTGTTGGCTCCGGTTCTAGTATCATCATCATCATCATCATCGATGTGGCTCCATTCTGAGAACCTTCTCACCCATATTTTCAATGGGGGCGGATGATGGTAGTGATGCTGTTGATGCAGTGATGTCATTGGAAAAGGGTTGGAGATAGGTGGATGTGTGCAATGCATGCGGAAAACAAACAATGCGCGACAGGCGGACAAACAAACATTCAACTGACAGCAGAAATGCGCCACTGAGACAGATGAATGGTGATGCAGGGTGTTGGTTCAAAAAGGGGAGGATTGTGGAAAAAGAGGGCGGTGTTGCAAAGCAGGCTACGGGTGCTGGTACGAAGTCAACAGTTAAACGGAGCTTGTGGTTCCAGGACATTGCACCCTGTGGTATTTGCTCTCCATTTTTCGCCTTTAAAGTGTTGCCTACATTACAGCTGAAAGAAAATTACTTAGAGGTGAAAAAATATATACAAAATATTTGTAAACAGTAAAGCAAAATCAACATTCGCATAGACAGTGAAGTAAGCTGAAAAGGGAAAAGTGAGAAAGATAAAAATAAAAAAGACTTTTCAAACTTTTTATGAATATAGATGTGATTTAATTATCGCACTAAAACAATCGGCTGCATAGGACTGCAATAAACAACATTCTTATATAGATATAATTAAAGGTAAAATAACTTTAAAAAAGGGTATTTAATACATTGTATTTGTATCAATTGGAAGGTTTTTAAGTTAATTTTAAAAAGAAGTTAATCTAGTATTTATTATAAGCACAAATGGGATTTTAAAAATATCAATTATATTAAATATTATATATATTTGCTGTATTGGATACACAACATAATAACCTCTGCACACGTATAAATAAACGTGAAATAAACAGTTTTAAAATTTATTCAGGGTCAGGCTCTTTAATAATGATTAAGACTCCATTTTTGTAAATAAATCCTCCTCTGACCGTAAAGTACTCACTTTGAGCGACTGCAACAATTTAAATCCAACACATCATCCCAGGCAGCTTTTGCAGGGCTGCCTCCTCTAATTACTTAATTACGTGCTCCACCATTGCTGGGCAACCCGATGTAAGCGAAAGGATGGGGGATTGTGCAGGCCGGACAGCAGAGAAGCCAACAGGAGCAACCGAAAAAGCCGCACTGGTTACACCTGTGGCCAGACTAATCTATCATGTGCCATAAAGCGCTAAACGGGATACGAGGAGCCGACTGCAACAGGAGAGCAGTAGGAGCTGTCTCTTTAGTTTTCCGCCATCCCCGGCCGTTTCCATCCAGTTTTTCCCGGGCTTTTCTCCTTTTTGCCGTGTTGATAAGCCGCATTGTGTCCGGTGAGTTGCGCACGCGGCTTTTGTGGTCGAGCGGACGGTGCAGCACTAGAAATGTTTATGGCTCCGCGGGGAGCTGGGAGCTCAGCGTTTGCCTGCGTGTGAGGTGTATCTTTGAGTGTGATAGTACACTAAAAAAATTTTAGATATGTAATCGAAAAAGTAAAATATATAACGAAAAGATTCTTTAAAGTCTCAGCGTGAGTTAATATACTCATTAAATTAAGCACCCAATTTTAACTAATAAGTTTCTAAGGTTTTAAGACAAAATATTTTATTTCTTTTCAGTGTACCTATGTTTCTGAGTGTAAGAATAGGTGTGGCAGTGTGCATGCCTGTATGTGGGTGTGACTGCCGTGCCACAGTTGTTATTGGCAAAACGAGTTGGCCATGCTGATCCCCAACGAAGCGCCTAAAAGCCTTTTGTGCCTTCTGTCCGTGGAATGATGAACAGTGGAAACCAAAAGCGGGAAGATGTTAAACAACGAAGCTGAGCTGTATCCTTTTACTTCTTTGTAAGGTTGTTATTTTTTTTTTTAAAGTCTTCGTTTTTGTAGAAAATCAGTATCTCATTTATTTATATACTACTATATACTATTTTAATAGTTTTGTAATCGCTGTTAAAGAAACGTTTACGACCATTTAGCCTGCGGCCTAGAAGCATACAATGAAATATGCTGAATATGGCTTTGGCATGAAAAACTGCTGCATATTTTTGGGCGCACTTTTTCACTCGGATAGAAATGGGAAGGGAAAACTTTTTAATAAACTATTTTGCAGCGTCGACAGCTGGAATTTTTTTCTTGGTGTCTTGCCAGCATCTAAGAATTTCTCTTTTTACACATATATGCAGATAGAAATCTGATTTCTTCTCTAAGGGGACAGAATGAAATTGTCAACATAATTCGCAGTGAGCCATGAATTTGTTGCTGCCGACAGACAAAAACAAATGCCAAAACGATAGAATTATTCAAGTGAAAGGGAAATTCCCATAACCTTTTTGTGTGCAACAACAAAATAAAATTTGTTGTAAGCGTCAATAATGTAAATTGATAAGGCAGAGGGGCAAAATATTCCTCTGGGCAGAGCTCCCAAAAACCAATTGAGGAAATGGCTGTCGGGTAAAATATTTAAAAAAAAAAAAGAAAAAATTGTCACAGGATAATTTAAGGCCAGAAATCGAAGGTGGAGAAGGGTTTGACAAACAAAACATGGCAATGAAATTAATGGGAATAATTTTGTAACGAAGAAATTCGACAACATTGTTGTATGAATCTATTGAATTATCACTAATTATGAAAATATTTCTTTACAATTATAACTTAAAAAAAAAAATAAAACTCATCAATACTTTTCCTTTATTATTATTTTTTTAAATTTTATTTCTTTAAATGCCTTTAAAAATCAAACAATGATACCTTTAGTTAGAGTATTAAATTTTTGATTGTATCAGTTTCCAGAGAAGCAAAAAAAAAGGTAGAAAAGGGAGCAATCAAAACAATGCAGAGCCCAGAAAATAATTGAAAATGAGCGATACCACAAAAGATGCAGGTGCCTTGATTAATTTAAAATCAACAAAAACGTAAATGTACTTTATATTTTCCCTGTAAATTTCGTGAGCATTTATCGTCGCCCATATTTTTAATTTTTTTTCTTTTTTTTTTGTTTGTGCACAATACAAATTTTGTTTGCCCACAACTCGCTGGTGGACTCCAATCAAAACGTATGGGAAGAAGTCTATATATATGTAACATACTGAATATCAGATATTTCCCGATCTATGAGAAGCTGTGGATGCCATTTCCATGGGATAGGTTACGAATGCCTTCAGGGTTCGGGTTGCAGCCGCTGGAAGTGTTTCTCTGGTACTTAACAGCTGTTGATGTTGCAGTATATGCTGTTGCTGATGAAGCGGCATTCCCGGCGAAATCCTATGCTGATCAGCGAAAAACGGATGCTTCAAGGCTTCTTCGGCGGTAATACGCTTCTGGGGATTAACTTCGAGGAGACGGGACAATAGATCATAGGCGTTGGCAGGAAATACATCTAGTCCATCGTACCTTTCCAAATGATGCCCACTGTTGCTGCATAGGCAATTAAATGTAGGCTGTTCACAACTCCGGCACATTTCTGTCGACCCATCTGGCCTTCGGTATTTTCTATGTATTTCGGGAGCCAGGAAATAGTCCGCATGACGAAATCTCATGCAGACCCTTCTTAAATCCAATGTATTAACCTTTTGTGCCATCAGCACCAGCCTATCTAGCATAAAGGCTGTTTTTCGTACTGGCATATCGCCGAATAAATTTATTATTTCTGCCAGAGCACCGCAGTCATGAGGAGCCTTAAAAAATGGATGTAGAGCCGAAAGTAGCGAAAGCATTATAACGCCAGCAGCCCAAACATCGACAGCAGTTGATTGCATGGGATATCGGAGTAGTACCTCTGGCGGTCTATATCCTGGAGTCCCTGCCCTTGACGCATGCATTTCCTTCTTCGCAGTGTTTGTGGAAACCACATAATTGTTGGGATCCACATTCGGGTTAATGAGTCTTAGGCGATTAAGAAGTCTCATGGTGTCAGCTCTTTGATTGGCCACATCTTTCTTGGATAACTGTCCGCCAGTCTGCTCACGTAGAGTATGAAGACTTGGTGGTCTAGGCTGGACATGATCTATACCTCCACCACCACCCAATGCTCGCATTCGTTTACTGGCCATATAGTCTTCGGCCTCGGCTTGAGCAGAATTACCATCGGTCAGCATTAGGTTTCTACCGCTTTCCATATCCTTAAGAAAACGGAATGCTTCCGGTGAACTTAGGTCATTTTTTTGTATTATAGTACCATCGTCTGCTATTCTTTGAGCCAAACCGAAATCACAGAGTAAAAGCTTTCCAGTTCGGCGGTTATAAAGAATGTTACTCGGCTTAACATCCCGATGAATCACATTGAATTTATGCACATGTCTCAGGGCAATGAGCAAGTTCCTTAAATAATCCCGAACCTCTTGGAGGCTCAGACTCCTGTAGATGTCATGAAACCGATCGTGCGTCATATAGGGCATAACAAAGGCCACATTCTCATTATATCTTATACAGCAATTAATCCCAATGACATTATCCTTTCCCCCAATGCGAAACATGCACTCCAACTCCCTAAGAATTCTCTCTGGATGATTGGTGGGATTGTGATGCTTAATCGCAAATCTCCTCCTCTGGGTTTCCACGAGACATCTTTCACGCTGCAAAGTACCCAAAAGAACGGTGCTAAAGGTTCCACTTCCAATACGACAATGGACATCGAAGATTTTGTGTATTTCCGGAATGCTCTCCTGTAATTCCTTCATCGCCTCATCGTTCTTATCGATGGGTTGCACATTTTTCGCTTGCATCGTAGAAAACTCTTTTAGTGCATTGTGACGATTGATCTGAGCTAGTTTCTCGTTAAGATCGACAGGGGCTTTGGGAGACTGTTGAGCTATGACCTGTTGTTGATATTGATGATGATTCTTAGAGATGGCCGGTTGAGTTCCAGGAGCAATTAAGTCTTGTCTTTCGTTAAAATATAGATTTTTGTGATAATTCGTTACGGAGCTTTTCGTAGCGGACTTATTGTTTGGATTAGCACCGCCCATATTCGTCGCCGATTTTTCCAAGGCACCCACTTTATAGGCGTAAAGAGATTTGGTTGACGTCTGCTGACTGTGATGATGATGCTCCTTCTTATACATTTCAAAAATCAGGATTTCATTAAAAGACTGCGCCACCCATTAACAGACTGTTTCAGCTTGTCCCAGTTTCTTCTAACCCACTCTTCGTGCTTGGATTGATTTTATAGTTTTTTACCTGTTTTTAGGGAAATAGCTCTATTAACCTGGCGCGGTAAACCGCGGAGTAAACACAATAATTTCGAATATATTCGGGTGGTTTCTGTGTTCGAATTTTGTGCTAGAAAAATTACCAGTTACGAAATAAAGACTATGTATTTGTGTTTCTTTCTAATCATGATTTGACAACTATAGCAATCGTATTCGTTTATTGGATTTTTATTTTGGATGCATCTTAAGGCTAAGAATCTTTTTTTCTCTAACTCTACACTTACTTTAAGTAAAGTACTTAGTACTCCAGCACTTCAAGTCATATCATATATCCATGGCCTAGCTATAGCTATTCATATTTCGCCACTACCTCACACCCCATTTATCTTAGTTTATATGGAAAAAGTTCCTGGGAACCCTATACCAGATGTTGCCCCTGTTGAGTCTGATTGCCTGTACGATGTCGCCACCTAGCTGTTGTTTTTCCTGTTGGTTTGGTGCATGCAATTTACCGTTACAGGACTCGACCCTAAATATGTCCACCCATTTTAGTCGAAATTTCACCCATCTGAAAAAAGTCGGTGTCAACATCAGCTGCCTGTCCACTTTTTTTTCACTTGATGCTCGAAGATGCTACCTCTAAGTCCCCTCCCACCCATGATAAGAAACCTAGTTATCCCGAGAGGAACACCTAAATTTTTTACCCTGCATCTTATTATTATTAGTCTGTGCTACCGGAGCAAAAGTTTTCCCAATGAATATATTAAAATATCCTCGATATGGAGAAAAGGATTTTATTTGTATAATATTTCGAATGAAATACAACCAACATAAATTATTTTAAGACCCATATAGGATGGTTTAAATGGCATGTCAAATTCTAGTGACATTATTGAGAAATTCTTACATAACTGTCAAATTTGTGACGCATTAGCATGAATAAATGATTTTGTATTACTAATTTTAGAGATCTATAAAAACTTGGTATAACTGAAAATTTTTTAGTCTTGGAGCAATCTTGACATTCTAACAATATGAATCTCGCACTCATCTTAGCCATCATACGTAAGACCATTCGTCATTTCATTTCGGACTAATTAAATAAATTATAAAACTTTTCCTTTTTAGTGCTTGCTGAGAATCAACCACGTCCTCCACATGTCACATCACAGCATCCAGCCAACACCTCAATTGTAAAACAAACTTAACATTATGTTTCTTTCTTTCCAAAAAGGAAACTTTTGGAATTGTCTTGAATAAATGGCTTAACTAAGCTATGAGAACATATTTAATCGTCTATACTTTTTGAAAGCTTTTGCATTTATGTTAGTTTATATGGAAAAAGTTCCTGGGAACCCTATACCAGATGTTGCCCCTGTTGAGTCTGATTGCCTGTACGATGTCGCCACCTCGCTGTTGTTTTTCCTGTTGGTTTGGTGCATGCAATTTACCGTTACAGGACTCGACCCTAAATATGTCCACCCATTTTAGTCGAAATTTCACCCATCCGAAAAAAGACGGTGTCAACATCAGCTGCCTGTCCACTTGTTTTTCACTTGATGCTCGAAGTTTTTCAGCGGCAACAGCTGACGTTGTGAGCGGAAACTAACTACCTCTAAGTCCCCTCCCACCCTTTATAAGAACACTAGTTATCCCGAGAGGAACACCAGAATTTTTTTAGTCTGTGCTACCGGAGCAAAAGTTTTTCCAATGAATATATTAAAATATCCTCGATATGGAGAAAAGGATTTTATGTGTATATTATTTCGAATGAAATACAACCAACATAAGTTATTTTAAGGCCCATATAGGATGGTTTAAATGGCATTTCAAATTCTAGTGACATTATTGAGAAATTCTTACATAACTGTGAAATTTGTGACGCATTAGCATGAATAAATGATTTTGTATTACAAATTTTAGAGATCTATAAAAACTTGGTAAAACTAAAAATTTTTTAGTCTTGGAGCAATCTTGACATTCTAACAATATGAATCTCGCACTCATCTTAGCCATCATACGTAAGACCATTCGTCATTTCATTTCGGACTAATTAAATAAATTATAAAACTTTTCCTTTTTAGTGCTTGCTCAGAGTGCCCCAAAAACCAAAGGAAGGTCGCCGACCAGCCCCCCAACTTAAAGCTCAATTTTTAATATTATGTTTCTTTCTTTCCAAAAAGGAAACTTTTGGAATTGTCTTGAATAAATGGCTTAACTAAGCTATGAGAACATATTTAATCTCTATACTTTTTGAAAGATTTTGCAAACAAGTTTAAATATCAAAATTTTCCATAATCCATGATGGGTTACTTTTTTTATAACATTTTACAAAAATATGGAAACCTCGTCTTAAATTAAGAACTTGATAGGAATTTCATGTTATCTTAATGAAAACTTGGTTAAATACATTTTGTTCCACTGTGTATTCACCGCTGATTAAATTTGTATAAATCAATAGTGGCGTTGACAGCTAAAATTGCCCCTTTAGAAAGCTATTTGGCTGTCGCAAATATAAATGAGAATTGAATGTGTTCACTCATTACGAAAGTTTCAGAAATAGTAGGTAGTGCGCCAGGCCCGAAGTAATTGCCCAACAAGGCAAACTGGTTAACTGCTATTTAGGAGCAGGAATTACAATTACCCAATGCTTTCCTTGACGCTGTTTTCCTTTGGATTTCTCTTGCTTTCCGATCCACGCTTTTCCCTCCTGTTTATTCATTGCCGGCAGTCAAGTGCAACTGGCCTTTTCGAAGTTTGTGCAAAACTATTGTCAATTGCGCTGGTTGCCAGTGAGAATTAGAGCTAGGGTTGGCCCCGGGAACTCTCGAATGGCCAAACTACAATGCAGAACAACACTTGGCTGCTTCCCCCGACTTCCGCACCCTGAATAGAATCGGCGAGGGAGCGTCATTCCCACCGCCAACCGACAACAACTTCTTCATCAAGCGAAACTCCCTTTGACCGAATTTCCTTGGCGCCTTCCGTCGTGGCAAGCGCCAAGCGGAAACTTTTCTAGCCAAGTCAGTTGGGATTAGCCTTGACTGCCAAGAGGAGCAGTGTGCGAAGGACTTCCAGGGATCCAGGTTAGACACTCGTTCGGTGGCAAACTGCAAATTAAGCTCGACAAAACGATTTGCTTAGATTGCCGTATACAAATAGGTTTCGGGTTTTCGGTTGGTGAAAATGCCTCGGTAATGAGACTGTTGTAAACGAAATCGTTTGTAGAAGCCACGTTGGCAATTACTTGTCTTGTAAATGGTTTTCCTTAAAAAAAATTAAACAAATAAAATGTTTTTTTTTTTATCAAATTAGGATAAGTTCAAGATGGTAAAATAATATTGATAATTAATAAATGAAAACTCTTTTAAATTCGATTAAGTTCTTAAAGCCAAGATGTCCCTGCTGCTGCTGTGCGTTTTAGACAGTCATATTTCATCTGACTAACTATCCAATTTCGTCTGCTAGCTATCTAAGCCATTTCACAACTGTATCTCTTGTCTCCTCTACAATGAAGTCTCAGATACACTGAAGGAAAAAACATTTCTAAACACTTAATACTGAAATGACTGCATTTATTAGTAAACGAAGGATGCTCACTACACTAGTTCAAAATATTGGATAAATAAGAATTACAATGTGAAGTTCTTTCAATAATAACTTTATTAGGGCACTATTGTTCTTATTTTACAAAAAAATTAAAACAGAATTCCCATTATGCTTGTTCAAGTCTACATCTTAATGGATTACACCTATGGATTACGGGAGGAGAGTCCGTCGATACAAGCAATATTATCGCTATGAAATAAAATTAAATATATAAAAAATGTAAAGCAATTCAAAAAAAATTCACCAAAAATGCTCAGGAAGCTTTCTACACTCATAGTGTTAACACCCCGAAGATTGCCACCACATTATTTGTTACGAACTGGTTGAAGTTTTTAGAATCTCGCAGTATTAGTTACGGTAAAATTCTTATGTAAGGTTCTGCGGAACAAATCTTTTGATTAGATTTTGCTTCCTGATCTACAAATTGAACATTTTCTGGTACTAATTTGATTGATCTATAAAAACCTTGCAACAATACAACGTTTTTTATTTAAGTTATTGTAATATAAGGATTTTTTTAAGTGTAGATCCACGCATTTATCCTCGCAGTCGGAGCCTTTGTCTTGCAGTTGCGGCCAAACAATTTCGCTTACCCCACTCGCAGCACGTTGCGGTTGGCAGAGGCGTGCCGGAAGGGGCTTTGGAATGAAGGTAGTTGGGGTAGATATGGGGGCTTAGGCACTCAAAATCTTGTATGGGCCAAACACCCGTCGCGTTGCTTGTTGATTGTTTTGCCATTTTGCGGTTGCAATTGATGGCACAGGTGGTGTAGAATGTTGCCGGGCTTCGCAAATGACCGCAGTGCACCTGCAAAAAGGGGAAAGGGGTGTGGGAAACTCGGAGGAGCTAAATTCACGAACTCAGCCTGCCTTAAAGCCCGTTTTGGCAACTGACGGCAGCCAGCTGTGTTTCCAACCAAAAAAGTAAGCCCATGGAAAATGGCCATTGGCCAGGGCACTTCTTTGGCTTTCGTTTGCGGCTCGTGTCGGGTTTTTTTGGTTCTAGTCCCTTTGTTAGATCCTGTCATTGCTAATGCTTCACTCAGGAAATATCCTTGATTTTCTTAAATGCAATGATTTAATATAAGCAATACATTTTGTGCTAGAAAAATTACTAGTTACTAAATAAAAACTATGTATTTGTGTTTATTTTTAATAACCAATATAAATTACTTCAAGGCCAATATTCAATTCTCTAAGTCTAAGTCTAAGACCTTTCATCATTTCATTTTGAATTTATTAAATAGATTATAAAACTTCTTCAGTGATTGCTCAGCATCCACCAAAGGTACCTCCCGGACGTCATAACTCCGGAAAAAATGTAGAACTTAAAAATGACTTATACAAGAAATTTTAAATTCTAGTTCTAAATTTTTATCATTTTATGTTTCTTTCCAAAAAATATATAATGAAAAACTTTTGTGTTGCTCAGCATGGCCCGTCAAAAAGAGAACTTAAAAACCAAGCTAAAAATTACAATAGTTTTTTGGTATTGTGCTGAAAAATTAAATAGTTTCACTTAACTATGATCATATACCTAATATTCTATACTTTTTGAACGCTTTCGTAAACAAGTTTAAATATCGGATATATCTTTAATCTATGGTGTTAAAATGGGTTAACTTTTTTATGCCATTGCAAATATATGTCAACTTTGTCGTAAATTAAGATTAGCCCTTTAAAGTTTCCTTTAGTATTTAATAACTTTAAAGCTACTTGACCTCATTTTAGTTTTTCAATTTTCCCTTTCTTAGCCATAAGTAGTCGAAGTGCAGTAATAGGGTATTTGACTGTTGCCTTTCCCGAAATGAAGCCGATTCTTGTTTTCTTCCGTGTATTCTTTGTTTGGCAGTTGGTTCCCAGTTTCAACCTGGTAAGCCGAGGTGCAATTTAATTTCTCCGCCGATGATTGATGCTACCATGTAGAGACTTCACTGATGAGTGTCCATTCCTTGTCCCGAACCCTTGCTACAAGGATAATGCCGAACAAATAGCTAACAAATTTTGCCTGCCAACACACACCGAAGACAACGGAGAGAAAACCACAAACAGCACCAAAGAAAAACTTTTTATCGCTGGGCAGGTTAACTTTTAAGCAGCCCAACGAGGACTCTCGATTCAGGCGGAGCGCAGGACATTTGCCAGAGATAAACAGATTTATTGTGCTTAAGGACGCACATTAAACAGGGCAGGGGGACTCTCGGACTGAAAGCCGAAACACCAAGTACAAGGACAGCGATAAGGACTGGGAAACTGCCAGGACTGTTTATAGATTTTCGGTGTCCCCAATTAGCACCAGGGAAAAGCGGGCGAAATGGGAAAAAGCTACGGAAATTAGGCGAATGAAAGGAGCACAGAAACAGTGCTGCAGTGTCCTTTCAATTCCCTGCTCTTTACTCGCTTCTGGATAATAGGAATGTTGCTGTAACACAGACAAAAATATTCTTGACAAGAACGCCCCAGCGAATTGAAGTTGAACATTTTTAAAATAAATTAATACAAATAAATTATAAAAGAAGAATTGAAAGTTATGTTTTTAACCAAAACTACGAGTTCTTGATCTTACCCTGAAATCGAATGTTGTTATCTAGTTTTATTCTCAGTGCACCCTTAAGCGACTCCTTGAAGCTCGAACTGCAACTTTTCGCTCCTGCTCCACTCCTGTCGCCAAGTTGTGACAGTTGGCAAAGGATAAGCGCAGGTAGCGGGACAAAATTAACCACAAATGAGGACAGTGCCGGAAAATGTGGAACTTTCGCCCATCGAAGACGAGAGCAGGTGAAAAGGATGTCGCGGCTTTGTAGCGCTTGGTTGGCCAAGGATTTCAGGCGGCGGCTTCCTGGACAGCCACTTGCGGAGAACTGCTACCACAAATGAGCTTAGTTGATGTTTAACTCCACCCGCTCATTTTCCTTATCCTTGTTCCTATCCAGTCACCGTTTATGCGAAGGATCTTCAGGTGCTTTGAAGATTACTTTCTAAATGACCTTATTGCTAATGTTTTGGTTCTTATTGATTTAGCTAAAGCTATCAGAAGTGGTGGCTTTTCGAAGGGTAAAAGGACATACAATTGTTGGTTTGCGTTAACGGGAAATGTATTGAAAATGATTTACGTATTTGAACGTGGCTTATAATCTGGCTTAAAATCTGTCTTGAGTATCTAAACAGTAATTAAAAGCATTAAATGATTTCAAATATTGTTTTAATCCTACTGGTGGTATACATTTGAATCCGATTGGGATTTAGATCTATCTAGATTTGTATTAATCTTAGACATTTCTCATCAATTTCACTTCCTACTTACCGTAAACCAAGCTTTCACAGAAAAACAAAACCAAAAGCTAAGACCTTAATTCTTTTCTCCAGCTCGGTATAAACCTAGTTGCCACTGCATTATCCTTCGACTGCGAAAGGGCGCCCCTTTTGCCTCTTGTGCAACGTACTGCAACCTTCAGGCCACCTTTGGAGCCAACTAATAGCCACAATGATGGCGACTTTGTCGCACTTCAATGAGCCACAACAGCAATAAAAACAAATAACAGCTGAAAAGTTGTCAAGGAAAAGCCATCCAGTGCTGGCATAGGGTGGTAAAATCATGGGAAAATCTAAGAGTCAACTGCAATTTCCACACCAAATCGAAGTTGCTGATGTAGCTGTTGCAGTTGCCGCCGGCATTGCTTTTAAGCTTAGTTAAGAAGCACTTTGAAGAGCTTTTCCTAAAGCTGCACCAATGTCCTTGCCTTCGCTTTTCCCTCGTCCGCCGGTGGAAAATTGTTGCTTCATTGCATTTTATGCTTGTTCAAGTTGTCGTCGGAAATTGCTTATTTATTTGAACTGCTCGCTTGGCTAACAAAACCAAACTAAACAAAAAAAAAAACGAAAAAAGGAAATCAAACATCTAATGGCATAATTCCCGGCCTGTCTCACTCCAACCTGATGAGTTTCCCTGTCCGACATAGGAGCAATAAATATTCCCTGGAAATAGCTCTGTTTTCCACTGCACCGGTTGACTGACAACTTGTCGTTTGTTACTACAAAATTCAATGAATATTTTCTTGGCTACCGACCTAAAGAGAACACAGAGATAAATGGGGCAACCATTTTATTGACTGCATTTTCCACATGAGATTTGGAGTTTCCCCCCTTTGGCCACAAGTGAAAGTGGCAGCATATTTTTTGCATGGCTTCCTGCAGGTACTATAAATTTCCAAACTTGTCAACTGCTTTTCTTCTACAAAAATTCATTCAATTTTCCGCCTCTTAAATTCTTAATTGTGGGCCGGGCGAAGGTCTGCTGAAATTGTTTACACAAATATCAATAACAATAAATTGTAGATTTATTGGAGGTTGGGGTGCAGCGAAGAGAGGCAAACACAAAATACAAATTAATATATTTTCAAGAACGAAAAACAATTTGCCTCTAAAGAAAATTTCCAAAAGCCCAAGGCCCCACAACAATTTGTTTTGCTTAATCTCAGTTCATTAATTTAAAGTGCTACTTGCAGAAGAACCTAGAAATACTCGATGGAGTTGGTCAAGGAATTTTCCCATCCTCGTCCTGAAAATTGTCAAAACATCTTTCTGGCCGCATTTGTGGCTTGGTCTTCTTTTGGGCTCCAAGAATTTTGTGGCCCGCACAAAGTTTCTCACACAAAATTTAGTTCCATTTGGCTAAGCATTTTGCAATCATTGGCAGCAGCCGTTTTGAGGATTAGGGTCAACTGGCTGTTGTTGTGACTTTAATAATTCATGAGCCATCTCTGTGGCTGACCTTCGCAATTTTTGGGGTCAATTTATTCTGGCCCAGGAGCATGGCCATCACTCTCCAAGTCATTCATCAGCCAAAGATGCTCAAGGGCTGATGGCCAGACAGACGGAAAGCCGATAGTTCTGTGTAGGTGTCGAGGGTTTACTTTGATTTGATTTCGAGAACAAAGGATAAAGATTATTGTTAAAAGAAAGGTCCTGGTTTGAAAGAAAGTTAATGGTAAGAAAAGAATTAGAATTAAGAAAGTGAGCGATAAAATCAATTGTGCTCTATATACAAATTATTTAAATTGTCGCTTATAAATATTAAAGATCCTGATACTGAAGCCCCATGGCGCTCCCCTTTCGCCACTCTCATCTTTTTATCGCCATCTTAATTTCATCAAATTAAATTGGCTTCCTCGACAGCTTGGTTTTTGATCTTCAGCCACCTGCCACGCCCGTTGCCACGCCCCCACACCTGGCACGCCCCCAGCAAACAATCAACTAAAGCAACACGCACACACACATTGAAATCCATACCACCACATACACAAGCGAACGCACACAAGTGCGCTCCAATGATTCAGGCTCCGGTGCCGGCTACTTTGCAGCTGCCAACGCCTTCTACATTTCACGTTGTAAGACACCCCGCAGAATCTGCACTGCAAAAAATGCTCATGTAAATTCATATATCAAAATATAAATAAAAGAAAATTTCCAATTAAAAATAAAATTATTTCATTTATAAAAATCGTATTATCTAGGAGCAAGCGCGGATTCTTATTTACATATTTGTAATTAACGAAGGCGAGTTTTTCTGTGTAATTTGCTTCCTATTTTTACACCTCTATTCCCTACCCGCCTTTTTCCAACTGCTATCACCTGCAGACGACCCCCGGTAACATTTTGTATGCGTCCTATTTGAAGCTTTCATGCTTCGACTGTGTATTCCAGCCTCTGGCATTTCAACGACGTCGCGAATGCAATTTTTTGCTCTCTCTAAAAAAATATAATGCTGCTGGGTTAAACTAGAGAGGGTGTGAGAGTTCAAAGTCTTCTGGGTGTTCGTCGCAATTTTTTAAAGTAAATAACCAAAAGTAAAGTTCCGAATGGCAGTTAAAATTTGTGAGCACAAAAAAGTAATACAAAGCAAATTACCATCTTTAACTACTTTTTCTGTGTATAGAAATATTCATTACAAATTAAAATTAACCATTTTGTAATCAGGTACAGTTTAATTTAATATTAGAACTTATTTTATTTAGTTACTCTGTTTGTAAAAATTTTAAAAGAAATAAATTAGAGCTTAGAATACGGGGAAAATTGGAGGAAGCAAGAAAAAGGCTTAAAACGAACAAAAAATCTTATGCAAACAAATGCATCTAAATATGCATACCTTTTTCATGGGTGTGAGTGGGTGTGTTCGTGTATGTGGTGGGTGTAAAGTTTTCTTTCCCAAACGCAAGCATTTGTTGGTTTCACTCCTTTTTTAACCATTTTTTGCTTTCACTAAACTCCAGGAGGTGCGACGTTCATACTCTAACCAGGAGGTGGGTGCTTTATTGGGCTAAAAAGTTTACAATTATGAAGAACTTATTGAAAGGAATAAATAATAATCGAAATCTTTTAAGACGAAAAATATAAAAGTGTTTATAAAAATACCAAAAACCTGAAGCAAAATGTATTTTATATTGTTATAAATATTATTGATTCAAGTTTGATTTTTAAACAAAATTAAGATTTATTTCAAAAGTTTTTCTTTCAGTTCAGTTTTAATTCTTTTCTAAATTTATATTAGTAGAAATAAATTTTACATTTAAGAGTATACGACTTTCTTCAAAAGAACGTAACAATTTCTTTGCTTTCTTTTTGTCTCATGCTGCGTCGCCGACAGTTTTACAAAAAAAAATGAAAGAACTCGACTCGCCTGTTCACCCATTACACTGCCACGCCCACTGCCACTTCCACCAGCTGCCGCCCACCCATTGGCAGCATCAGCAGCAACGGTAGCATAAATTTCCATTACCGTTGACAAATATTTACACATCGACCTCAATTCATATTCCTTTTGATGCTGTTGCTTTTAGTTTTGCCAGTCGGACTGGATGATGGGTTGAGGACGGTAAGGGCGGTATGGGTAGGCAAAAGTGGGCGGGGCACTTTTTGCAATGCCGGAGCAATTGCTGCTGGCTATTAAAAGCTGCATTTAGCACTATTCGCTCACACTATGTCTCTCTAAACACCATATTGAATTGCACTGGAATAAAAATTTTGATTTCCAATGTAAAAATATACCATGAAATATTTTTAATGAACCAATTTTAAGGTATTATATAATCTAACAACTCACACATACTTATTTATTAAATTTTTTTAGTTTTATCTCAGTAGGCAGCAAACTTTAATTGAACTTTTCCCATGTAATTTTTTTCTTATTATTTCTCCCACCATGAGCAGGCTTTTCGTGTAAATTCCACAATTCCACAAACCCTGTAAAACAGACAACCGGTCAACATTCAGTCGAACAATTTGAAGCAAAAAATAGGAAAAACCAACGAAAAATGTTCCAAATCGTTTGTTACATTTGCCTGTTTCTCCTGCTGCATGATTTGGACTTTTCCAATGCTGAGCCCTACAACAAACAACTGACCATTTTTGTCGAGGCTGGGCATCAGGAATGCTTTTATCAGCCAATTACCTCTACCGAGAACATTAAAATCGATTATCAGGTGATATATGGTGGTCTCGGAGAGACTCATATCAATTTTAATCTTATGGATTCGAGTCGTCGTCTTCTGATCAATGAAATAAAACAGGAAAAGGGAAAATGCGATCTGGTGGCCAATGAAACTGGGACCTATAAGACATGTTTTGATAACACTATTAGCACCTTCAATCAAAAGATTGTTGCGTTCACCCTGGAAGTGAGACCTGCTGACCGAGAGGAGCGGGAGTTTCGAGATATGCACCGGGAAATGTTAACAGATTACCAATTTGATATGGCTTATACCGCTATCAATAATTACATGGGTAAGATCCATGTAAATCTTATGAGAATCGGGCAAACTCAGCATTTCATTAAAGCAATCGAGGCCAGGGACCGCAATTTGGCCGAATCCACTTTCGCCAGGGTTAACAAGTGGTCTTGGGCCAACTTATTGGCGATGATATTCGTTGGCTTCCTTCAGGTGTTGATGGTTAGAAGTATTTTTCATACACACGGCACCTTTTACAAGTTTTGGAAAAGCTTTTAAAGTTTTTCAGTAGTCTTTGGAAATATTTTTGAATGAATAAAATATAAACTATATTTGTAAAGGTAATTAGGAAATAGGAAATTAAACCGCTAAAATCCTTGAAAGAAGAGTGTTTTGAAATTATAAATCCTCAAGTTCCTATACCTGTTCTTTGGATTACTAAGAGGTCTCTTCCTCATTTAGCTGCTCCTTGTGTCTGCTTCCTTCTAACAGCAATTTGCGCTTCTTGTGTTGAATTTTTTCCCGCTTCTTGGGCTTGGCTTTACCTTCTTCCACGCCCCTTTTTCGTTCGTTCTTTACAGGAGGGCATTGTTGGCGTAATTAACAACTGCGGCTCCCGTTTGCCATTGTTTACTCAGTGGCAGCCAGCGTCGCAGTGTTAATTACTCCCCGGCGTCCCGGTGACTGCTGAACAGCCCCGTCTCTTAACCCTCGTGTGCCCGGCGTTCTCCTGGGGGTCCCACTGACACAGTGGCTCACTTAGCCTTCGAGCTGCTTTCCTGTGTGACTTTTGGGCGAGGCGAGTAGCGATGACAGGTCTCCCCGGCGGAGTTCAAAAGGTACAAATTAAAGCGCCACCTGTGGCCAGTCAAGTGCCCCCAAAATGCAGGTGTACTTCCTCATATATGTTGTCTGAGTGATTATAACAAAGAATATGCTCTGGACAAACTTTACATTGAATTCATTGGGTTTAGCCCTGGAAGAGACTGTCGGGTACCTTTAAAAATGGAAAACAGGCAAAAGATAATCACGAAATCAGCATCCCTATTAATACTAACATTAATATATCTATAATTATATATTGGTCTTAAGTGTGTAACTTTAATTTGAGTATTTAAAATGTCACTCCATCCATATTAATGTCGGTTGGCGGTCACGCCCAAACATGGGCACACTCACGAACCACCACTTGTTCCCGCCATGCAAGGAATCCATCCAGGAAAAAGTTCCCAACGAAAAAAGAAATTGCTTCACACATGTATGCTTATTTCTTGGCAATTTAACGAGCTTTATGGGCAGTTTTACTTTACACTTAAGTGGCGTTTTAAAGCCTGAAGGGAAACGCATTCGAAGGAGGACCAACGATCGTTTATCAGTGCCAGAGGAAATGCAAAAGAAAAGCTGCTGTTAATTTAATTACGCCGACTGCAAAGGCTGCACAATCGTAAAAAAGACATTTAATTGCAGCTGCCAAACGATGCAAAGGCGGCGTTGGCCATTTTAACGATCAAATTATGGCCGAGAAGGAGTTGCCCGCCGCCCAAAAAGAGAGAGAAGTCACAATTGCAGGCAGATATTCCCGGCAGATAATGTCCTGTCCATTTTTGCCATGGCGCCAGCTGTCATCGTCCTTCAGCCCTAAAATCCCCCTTTTGGCCAGCTTAATGGGATGAGAAGAACCGGGTGACAAATGTATTTAAAGTTTTCCCCACAACCTATATCGCTGCATCTGCCTGACTGCCAGTATGGAAACTCAACCTTCAGTCCAAGCAAGAGCTTATAGCTAAGTAATCGCCTTTAACATAGATAAAATGTATTTTGCACAAATTGAAAATATAAATAAACAAAAGCCAGCAGAGCATGTATTTTGCAAAAACAGACGAAGGCGTCGATTGACAAAATATTAATGAAAAAGTCACACAAATGAAACTCAATAGCTGGGGGAGTACACTGACACATTAGTTTAACATAAAAACATTCACGTTTCGTTAATAAGAAAATTATTCACACCAGTTAAGTGATAAATGATTTATTTATAAAATTTTATATTTAACTAAACTTTTGGTATTTTTCAATTTATTTAATTAATAGGATCAAAAATAAAACCAGTTTTTCTTTATGTAAGGACAGAAAACCAACCATAACGACAACTTAATACTGGTTTTGGATGCACAAAAGACATCAGGTGAAGAAGGGGTGCACAGAGCAAGGAATAAATACATGAATATGTAAAGATAAAACTATGTTTTAAGACAGAACTTGAATAGAAATGATGACAGCAACAGAAACCTAAACAACATACGTAGTTAGATTAGGTCTCTAAAGGCTCTGTGGGAGACGGCATGCAAAAGAAGCCAAAAATGAAAGTTTTTAATTGCATTTTGTTCACTGAAATTATTGAGCAAGTAAAGAAATTTAAGAACACCAGTATCTTTCCTTATAATTTTCAATTTGATGAAAATTAAAAGCGTTTGCCTACGAAAGCAATGTGTCAATAATGGAAATACTTTGCTTTACAATTGAAAATATAACAGGATTATGTCGTTTGCATCATCGACAAGAGTCGCAGCATAAAACATCATACCCCTTTAATTTAGTGTAATAAAATTTCATCTAATCTGCATTTACGCCCTAAAAATTCCACTTTTTGCCATCATAAAAGTGGTTCCTTGTCAAAAATTGGAATTATTCTTTTTGAAATAATTCCTTTATCTTTTTATAACAAATATTAACGCCCAAGTGATATATTTTTAGCAGCTAATTTGTGATTCCATTTTATCAAAAAGTAACATTGTTCCTTTTTTCAGTACGCTTTTCCTCCACACGAGTCCTTAGTCTTTTATCTCGAAAGCAATCCCATTAAGAATGCAAGTTGTGAGTTCATAAGAAAAGGAAAGAAGCACGGGACTTGTTCATTATGCATGACAACTGACATATCAAGACATATGGTGTAAGTTGGTAGGAACCTTAACACCCCACCGACCTGCTCTACTTTCATTCCCCGCTCCGCGCCCGTACTTATTCTTCCATTTTAGGGGGCGTTTTAATTGCAAACTGGCACACAAGGAACCCATTTCCATTGCCTTGGCAGTCGCCTCTAATATTGCCTTCCGACCATGGCCATTAGGGGCGGTCAAGTGGCCCCCTTTTCCGCAACCTCCACAACCTCTCTCCCGCCAACAATCAAGGGAACAAATTGGGTTACTGCTCAACTGTCTGGTTAATGGCTACAATGACACAATTAATTGCATGTTGGCGGCCATTTGCAGCACTCGAGAGCCTCAGCTGCCGCCGCTGCCAATGTGAATTAAGTTTTGTGCAAAAATTTAATATGCGGCCAATGCTAAAAATAAATTACTAATTAGTTTGGGGATGCCTTCAAGGCAAGGCCACTACTGACAGCGGCAATATCGAAACCGGAACAGGCCAAATCAGAATATAGCCGCCAATGATGACCTGCAATGTAATGACCGTTATTGAGAATGGTCTAGGACTTTAAAGTCTAAAAATATTCGTTTTTAAAGTAAACTAGTAAAGAACTAATTATTTTGCTCTTAATTGTTGAAATTTCCATGATTTGTATTAAATTTTAAGTTCTTTTTGGTGCTTTACAAAACTGTTTTTTAAAAAATCATGATGTAATAATTAATTTTATATAAATTAAAAACATTTCCAGGAGTACAAGACCCATACAAGTTTTTGAAGTATTTATTATTTGTGTTATACGTCAGGTTATTTGTCATTTTCCTAGGAAATTCATTTATATAAATGGATTTTTAAACTGCAGAAAAAGTTTTCATATGCATAACTAACCATCACTCAAGTGAATTTCATAAGTAAAATAACTAAATTCAACCGAACTTTGTGGGCATACTATTCAGGGAAACCTGTTAATAACTTTCGCCTTAGTCTCCCATGAGGCGATATCTCACATATACCCTTAACCCTTCTTTTTCGATCTGCCGGCGCCTGAATGTCCTGTCCCGGGTCAAAGCATACTTCCTGCGATTGTATTGTGTTTAGCCGGGATATGGGAAGCTGAATAAGAACGGAGCGCTTTAAACTGCAAAAAGCTTTTGCCCTTCAGTCGGTCGGTTCTACATTTTCCTCCGATGGGAAACTTTGCCAGCAGAAGGCAGCTCATAACAATGAAACTTTGCACGCTTTGGCAATTATGTGAGTGGGCCAATACACACACATATGACCCTATATCCTTTGGCAAATTAACCCACTTCTGCTCTGCCATCCAATGTTTTCTTAGCTGCGTCTGCAGTTGTACAATTTTCATTCCGTTTTATGGAGAGTGTTTTTACTTTTCTTTGCCTCCGCTCTCTAACTTTCTTAGGTATGTTGCGTAAGGTTCCAAGCCAATTGGCCAACTTTTGTTTAGTTTCCATCGAGCTTGAACAAGATTTAGTCCAGTCTGAGAAGTCCTTTGATGGGGTTTTCTTTACACCCCTTGGAAAGTGCATTTCAATGTTGAGTGAATTTATGTATCACATATATTTTTGCTTTACCGCTCTGCCTGGGTCAGCGTGTAATATGCAAAGGAATTCCTGCACGCAAATGGATTAAGTGTACCATGAATATGCAACTTTTGGCTGGTCACTCAAGAAAATTTGCATTTTTCCTACCGAAATTGCAGTTTGGCATGAGCGTTGCAAAACAAAAAAAAAACAGAAACAAAATTGTGCCCTCAACTGGTGGCTCATTAAAATGCTTTTGAGTCACCAAAGTCAAGTTGCTAATGGTGCGCTCTCAAACACATAGAAAGCTGGTAAAAGTTGGTAATGCGTTGGCCCGTCAAAAGCTTGCCACGAATTTTCCTCTTCGCAAGTCCAAGTAAAGGAGTGACCAAAGTCAGCGAATCGCACGACTGAACGCCAACCAAATTACATTGGCCATAAAAAACTAAACGAAAAACCAAGTGTGTGTGCCTTTGTTAGCTTCTGCATTTAGCGGCTATTAAAATGTTGTAAGTTGCCAGCCACAGATAACGAGCTAAGGCATGAAAAAAACCTGACAGCGCCAGCCGAAAAAGCTTTGCAGTGAATTAAGGCTTTAATAAATACCCATTAACAGGATAAGGGTAATCTAAATTGATTTGGTGTTAACATAGTTGAAAGCCGATTACCTTTTGTTTTTATTTCTTGAAACTTATTATTTTCCCATTAAAATAATTTTCTACATCTTTAAGCTATATCTTGTTATGAAAAGTTTTTATTCAATTATGATTAACTTTGGCTAGACAATACTAATCTCTCTCTTAGTAAAATTATTTAATAGTACAAAATTAAGTTTTAAGAAATTAGTTTCCTTAACTGATTGAAAATGTAATAACATCTGTTAGTTATCAAAATCTTGCCTTTTTTGTAATAAAATTGCATAGCCTCTTACACGCGACCAGCTTGAAGGTTTTAACCCACAAAAGGACTGGGACAAGATAGTTTGTTATGCCTCCCTTCGGAACCATTCGTCTTGTCCTTGCCCGTGTTCGTGTCCTTCGCCTAATGCGTAAATGCCTAATGAAACGTATACCAGCCAAAAAGCGAAAAGAAGTTTCGCCGTTTAGCATAGGACCGCCCACATTTCCCGGTTATTTCCTAGGGAAAAGCCCTACAAGCCAGACGACAAGCTCAACTAAGGCGAGGACAATAACGACAGCGACAAGGACAACGGAGCAGCTAGGATGCACCGATGCAACGCTGCCAGGATGCTGCCGCCCAGTGACAATAATTTAATTTAATGTGTTTGCATGCAGCAACAACAAGAACAACCTTAACCGCCGAGGAGGATGCCGTTCTGGGGCCCCAAGATAACTCACAATTTGTGGCCGCTGCAACTTGCGACTTGCAACGCACATCTTGCAACACGCCAATGGCAACAGCAATGGCAGCCAAAGGCGAAATTTATGGCTCCTTCCGTTCGCAATTCCCTTGCCTTCTGAAAGGGACGGAAAATTCATGCTGAAATTATTAGTGTAAACATTTTGCATTTAATTAATAATGCGAGCAGCCCACTGCAGCGAAGCAGCGTTGACAGCCGTGGTTAAAAAAGTATGCAACCAAGTTGGGCCCAACTTTGTTGCCAGTAATGCGATAATAATGAGCCATCGACGAAAATGGCTATGCTGATATATATTTGAATAAATTTATTGGCCTGCAATGTGATTATAGAACAAGTCAGAAGATTTAACTTAGAACTTTCAACTCAAAGTGTAAGAATGATGATAACAAAATTTTTAAGAGCCAAATTTAGTTTTTTAATAAACATTCGAACTTTTTTAAATCATTCAGGTGTTTAAATATTTGTCAGTGACATAATCATTCCTTAACAGCAAGGCCACTTCCACACGGAATCTGAAGAGGGGTTGAATGCTATTGATGATTCTCAGAACAAGCCTACCCCAATGAGAACTCAATTGCCAACGACTTAAATAGCAAAAATCCCAAGCTCCCAATTCGGCTTTTATCTCGCCTTTCTTCGCTTATGGGAAGGCATAAATTGTCTGGACATTTTCTAGACATCATAATATAAAGCCTAATAAATAAGCGACAACAACAAACAAAGAAATGAAAATCAAAATAAGCTTTTGGCAAGTAGCAAGAAAAGCAGAACCAACTTAAAGACGGAGATTGTTGTAAATTGAAACGAGGAAAGGTAGGTAAAATAGGGAGCTCAAATGCGAAGTAATGAGCATAAAAATGCTAACAGAACCACAAAGGAGAGACAATAAGGTGAGGGGGTTGTGAGTAGGTGCCAAGACGACCGTAAATCTTTTTGTGACGCTTTCAAGGTAAAATAACAATTTAAGTTTATTACTCGGATAAAAGACAGCAGTAAGAAAAAACTCCACCTAGTAAAGGGGGACAACTGGGAAAAAAGGAGACACAGCACTGACCACGCAGGAGCTGATGCTGGAAAAACCCCCTCACAAATCTATGATATATGACAGAGAGAAATGTGCGTCAGTTGCCAGGACAGCTGTAAGGATTTGTTCGTCCTTACTTTCAGCTTTTATTTCATTTGTCCCACACACAAAAAGCTTCCTCAACGCCAGAGTGGAGGGCGAAAAATAAAGCAATGTCGACGATACTGGGGGTGGGAAAATGTTAAGAAAGTCTCCGAGTCGCTCTTTTATGTAGATTGTCACAGTTGTTGCTTGCTCTTATTTCGTAGTATCTTTTTCTAACAAATCTCAAAGATTATGACGGCTTGATACAAAATTAACAGGCCAACTACCATAGCAAGTTGGTCCGAGCAAACAAAAAGTGGGAAAAAAGTAAGTTTCCTTTTAGTGACTCCCAAAATTTCTTCAAAAGGGAAGTCGGTTTACTTGGCCTTCAGGATTCCCTTCAGGGTCACACATTTTAGGAATTTCTGGTAGTTTTTATTAAAATACACATGTGAAAAACGAATATACCTGGAACGGGTATAACGGGTAACGGGTAAACGAATATGTGGCTGTTAAGTTCAAAAAGTTCAAAATATATCCCAAATTTTTCACTGTGCAGACTGGAGACACCTGTGCGGTGGCTACCACATTTTTGGCCAGGTCCGAATTGAGTGGAGCGATGTGGAGTGGAGTGAACTGAAGGGCATTGGTGTGAGCGAAACATGTGCGCCACTTAATGGCCAAAAGCAGTCGAAGGAAGTGGAGCAGTAGACGGCTTGACTGCCAGCTACTGGATTGCTCTGCCACTTTGACAGAGTGCTCCATGGACACGGAGCGTCCCAGTTGCTTCCCCTGCTCCCTCCCGCTGACAAATCACAATTCGATTGTCTCTACGTGTCACTTACAGGACACGGGGGCTGCATTTAGGCAGCGTCCTTCCATTATACAATCAAGGTGCCACCTCCCAATTTTTCCTGCCATTTTCCCCTCGCCGCTTTCCTCGGGCAAACAAAGCAGTTAATGGCTTGCAAGTTGAAACAGCGCCTGTGTGTGGATTTTGGCCCTGCTCCACTGATTTTCCAGGGCCTTATATCAGTTTTAATGTCCTGGTTTTTGGCCACAGCCCGCTGCCATGGTTGCCATCCATGTGGTTTAATTAGCGCTGTCTGCCAGTCAACCATGTGGACAAATTTGTACATTGGCCACCGTAGAGCGTTTAGGCTAGCTTTTCATTTGCCTTCCAAACCGGTATTCGAGGTTCAGGTTTCGAGTTCATTGATTGCCTTTCAAGGCAACTGTGATTAGGTATTGTGTGGACTTCGATGCTATTGGGATGACTTTTTTGTGATTTGTCTCTAATATTTTTTGCCTTCAAAATAATTCTCTTCGCACTATTTCCTAGTAAATATATTATTATTTATGCATTATACAATAAACATTAGAATTTAATTACAAATTATTTTTTATTTATTAAAAACATAGTAAGGCTATATAATTTATTGAAGTTTTTACAGTTTGTAGAGTTAAACACACATAGGCCTTAAATGAATAGATTTTATAATAAATAAAAACCAAAATATGCAACATAGAACCACAGTTTAAATATATAAGCTAAACCATTTCAAATGGTAAACAAAAACTAGTTGAAAGCTCAAAAAGCTCTCTCCCAAAAAGTGTTCTTTTCATCCCGCTGAATGTGGACTTCAAGCTCAGGAAAACTCTCTTTCCCCAACCGATTTCTCTTACGGTAAAAGCTTTCCCCAAAAAGCTCTTGCAGGGATGCTGTAATAGGCAGAAGTTCGCTGCCAACATCCTCGGATCTCTGCCGCCACTCCGGACAGCTTCGTTCGCTCCTCGATTTTTTCGTCCTGGCCTCGTCGGTTTTGGGCCTGATGTTGTAGTAGGTCTGGCCACCGTCGAAAGGCTGGCTAGTTAACCACGGCGTTTCAGTCAAGCTCCAGCATCCGTTCACAGAGGCGGCCCGGTGCTGCTACGCTCTCCAATAAATCCCAGAGACGAGCAACGCGTACGGTCGGTTGGTTGTCTGTGTGTGTCAGTGGGTGAACAGTGCGTATGAGCGATTTTCGGTGGCACTAAAGGAGGCCCAAAACGAACCGGTGGACCTTAAAGTTGTTGGGTAAACAACGAAAAGTCGGTTACGCGTGGCGAGTAACGGGTTGCGGATTGAATAAACAAGACCAAGAGCGAATGGAAAGTGCACAAACTGGAAACAGGAAAAATCCAAAAAAAACTCCCAGAATCTAAGAAAAACATTGCCAAAAATGTAAGCTCAGCTGAAATGTGTTTTCAGTAAGAAAGCCTTTTATATTAAATCAGATATACTTCCCTTCTATGCAATACAAATTCTTGATTTGAACAACAAACGAAAAAAATTAATTCAAAAATTGGTAAAAAATTAAATAAAAACCAATTCAATTGAAAGTAAATCGAATACAAAAATTAACAAACTGAAGAAAGTAAGAAAGTAAAAGAAAAGTAAAGTTAAGACATTTTTCCACACAAATTTGTAATAAAATAAATCATTAAGTAAAAAGCATTTTGAAAAATGTATTTTTCATTGAATAACAAGAACCTAAATACAAAATGATTTCTAATCAACAAAATATGAAACGTAAGGCATCCGCCCAAAAAAAAGTTTAATAAAATATCAAAGCACAAAGTAAAAAGTCGAGATGAATTTGAATAAGTATCAGAATGAGTACAAAATATTCTAAATTGTTAAAAGCCATGCACTTTTTTTTTAACTACAAATCTATAACCCACAAAAGAAAACCCAAAATGCAAATCAGTAAACAAAATTCAAATTTAAAAAGGAAAAATTATTATTTCTGGCAGCACAGTTAGTTTCGCCTGAAAAACTTTCCGGTCTCCGGTGCAGAATTTTACTGATAAATTGTAAAATATCTCTCTCCGGCACCGAATTGTGTTCGATTTTCAAGTAACCGAATAGTTGCCATAGTTTTTGCTCTAAATGCCGAGCGAAGGCCATAAAAACATATTGGCAACATTTCAAACTCTCCAAAGTTCTTTTACCTTTGGCCCAGTGCAGGACCCAAAACAACAGCACACAAACAAACAAACAAACAGACTCTGACAAACAAAAACCATTTCGCCCAATAAATCATTGAGGAAAAGCAGCAAGAGCAGCAGGAAAACTTGTGAAGAAGACGAAACTTTCTTGTTTTATATATAAATTTTTGTGAAAGGAACTGTGAGCAGCAAAAGTTGAGGAAGTCATATGAATTAGTTTTGGAATATGGCCGGATAACCTGACGTTTGAGCAATGTTGCCTGAGCGACAGGATGGATTTTGATGGAAAACTATTTACTAAGAAATTTGCATCGATTTCTCTGCGGTGATATTGATGTGCATTCAAGATGGCTGAGTTTTCAGAGAAGAAAACTTAATTTTCGTGTGCAATCTCCAGGGATAAATCAAGTAGCAGGTTCGTTTACCTAATCGCAACACATTCGCAAAGCCATCTGGCCCGAAATCGTAAAGTGGCCAGCAGACAGCAGACGCCCTGCAGGATATTTGAACTGGCCTCTGAAAATTCTGGGCCATCGTCTCTCTCATCAACTTAAATTGTGGGAAATTAATCAAGTTGAAAAGGTTTCTTCTGGTCGGGCTGCGAAGACGCCTCAAAAGATTGCGCCTCCATTTTCGGGGCGGTTCGGTTTTGCCCTTTGTCTTCTGTTATTGTTATGGCCTCCAAAGTCTGGCTCTGACTCACAAGACGAGTCAACATGCGAAGGGCGAACCTTTTTTGTTGATGCAAAAAAGCCTTTGCTTTGCATTCAAGCGGAAATTAAACAACTGCACAGAGAGAAAGTTTTTGAAATTGGCAAAATACATTAAAAAGAAGAATATTTTTTTAATTCTTGAATCAAACGTTAATACATCAAAGTTAATACAGGATTTTACAGTCTGAAAGTGAATACCCAAACCATAATACCCAGAAGCCATCCAAAAACAATATTTTTAAATTCCCGTTGTAAAAAGTGGAGTTCTTTACTTTTTTCAACCCGCCACTGCGATATTATCTATATTTGACACAGAAATAATTGTCCGTCACTTTTAAATGTCACTTTTGGAATTGAGCTCTCAAAGGGATGAGAAATTGATACATGTTTTTTTATGTGTGCTTTACAAGGCAGTGAAAGCAGAAAGCCGTTGGGCGATTTTCCCCACATTGCTCAAATTGAAATTGTGTTCCTGGAAGCCTGGGGGCCATCAGCCCATACACAAATACACACACACACACAGACACAGGCAAAGGACACGTGTAACACTTTCTGCAAAGAAAAAAATGGACCTTAAAGCGAGTCTTAAACGCAAGCCAGAGTTTCAGTTTTTTTTTGCCTTTCTGGGTCAACGCCTGGTTGACATTTTAGCCCGGGCACAGAGTTCATGGAAACCCTTTTTTAATTAATACAGTCTGTGCAGCAGCAGCAGCAGTAGCAGTACGAGTAGCAGCCCCTCTCCAGTTGAAACCTCATTAAAATGCGTTCGAAAATGAGACCGCAGACTGTGAACATTTTGTGTTTGTGCAGCTCTCTGGCTGCGATGGCTTTAAAAGCGCGAAATCATAAAACGACAGTTGATGAATTTTTATTATCTGTATTTTTTATGGCCCCCTCCCTTCACACCCGGTACTCTCAGGTATTTAATATAATTTAATTAATTAGTGCGCTTGAAAATATGTCACCGGTTCTGAAAGGCTAATGAAATATGGAGCCTCATTAGCAGATCCGTCAGAGAAAAGAGCTCAATAGCTGATTCAAGTATTTCCCGATTATATTTAAGCAGATTGTGTGCGTTCGAAGCTATATAGTCAAAGTGCAGCTCGTCAAGTGTGCAATTCTCATTAATAAACCAAATGTAAGCTCTTTAAAATATGTATATACGAGTATGTGTATGTTTACATTTACACAAACCGTTTGACTGGGAAATTATTATTTGATTGAGACTTAACTGAAACTAATTGCCAGCAGTTTGACTTCGATTCGGAAATATTATTCATCAATAAATTCAATGAAACAAAACCCACAATTTGATTTATTTGTGACCGGTATTAATTTGTTTGGCTCGAAATTTTCCAAGCAAATATTGAATGTAAGCACAACATTTTCCGTTTAATCCCCATTACATTTTACGTCATTCCAGGCCATAAAGGAACACAAGTGCATATAATATATTTGCGTCGCGCAATTTCCAAATAAACCATTTACATTTCGCGTTGGCAAAAAAACCATCAAAAATAAATGAAGCATAAATGCCAAGAGCACACGCAGGAGAGAAAAAAATGAAGAAAATTCGTCGAGACCGAGAGAAATGTGAAGGGGGCGAAGTGATTTAATTTTTCTGTAATTTTCTTTATGGTTCCTTTTTTTATTTTGTAAATCTCCAAGCGACAAACAACGGTGGAGCATGGAGCGTTTTCAGGGGGAGAGTAAATAGGTTTTGCGAGGAATTAGAAACACGAAACGCCATTTGGCGGCAAAAATAACCGGAAGGAATTATAGCAGGCCTCTAATACTGTCTCTTTTCCACTCAGCATGCCCCATCTCGTTCTAATGCCAGCATCCGCGAAGAGGAAATTAAATGTTTTACTGTCTGCGGTGAGAGATGAGAACACAATTATAATTTCATGCAGGCGACAGCAGGAAGAAAATGCTTGGAATAAAATCAGTGAAAATGGAAAACATTTTCCCATTTTTCGCGGGCTTGTGGGAGTTGCATTTTGGTTTCGTGAAACTGTTTCCATACATACCAGGCCATGTCCTGTTAAGAGGATCAGTGGAAAAGGCGAAGGAGCATGAGGGAAATGGCGGGCAGAGTGTGAGAAACTGAAACTGTAAGGCGGAAGCGTGAAAATTAAGTAATATGCGTGGAGCAAAGCGCTGGGTATTAAATTAAAAAGGAAATGAAATGGCCATCAAATGGAATGGGATCTGGGCTATAAAGACAAATTGCTTTCAGTCACAATAAACACAGTACTTAAGAGAAATTCATTTTCACTTAAGTTTCCTTAAAAATTATATATTTAAGGTAGAAAAAGACAATAGGTTTTAAAAGTTTATTTTAAGGAATATTTCCGTGAAATGAAAATAAAACTTTTCCACTTACTAAAACTCACATACGAAATATATTTTACTAATTCAATTTTTCCTTCCATTTTCTCTTTCCTTTTCCATGTTCCTTTTTCCACACCACAACAGAAGCATCAACATCAACCGGAAATCAACTAAATTGTCGTCACTCCAATCAAGTGGAAATTTGATTAAAAAAAAGGAGAGCAGGGTGGCCAAAGAAAAAGAATTGAAGGGAGAAAAGAGGAAAAATTTGATAAATTCAAAAGAAAAGGCAATAGACGAGTGCGGAAGGAAAATAGAGTGCGGGTCTATCGAAAGGTAGCAGCAAAGGAAATCAACACGCACGCACATGAACGAGTTTGTTGCACGGTTGCGGCAAAAAAACATTAAAAATCAGCGGAGCGTAAAACTTACACAAAGCTTGAAAAAAAATCCAGAATCCCACGTGAACAAAGAGGATGAAAAAAATAAATACATAGCTACAGTAGAAATAAAAACACAAATACAACAGAGTAACGAAGTGAAAGAACAATTTTTAGTGGAAAAAATTAAAAGATTTCACTTGGAGAAAAAAGAAACTAAGCCAGAGGAAATTGAAAGGCGAACAACAAGGGCGAAACAGCTGACGGCCAGGACATATAACGTCTTTCCTCTCCTTTGGGCTAGAGCACGAAATTAAGTGCAGATTATCAGAAGATTATATTTTAATAGCATTTCAAGCTGTTTCCTTTGGCCAACAAAGGCGAGACAGGACCTCCCAGGACTCGCAAAGCAGCAGGCTGACCCTGGAGCTAATATATATGTGTGTGTGTGTGTGTGTGTGCTACAAGTGCGGCTTATTGCATGATTACCGCCAAAGATTTTTTCGGGACTCCGCTACAGGATTCTGAGCCCGGGAATAGCTAAGCAAACATATAAGCGTGCCAGAAATTGAAATTAAAGAAGGAATTAGTGTCGCGAGTGTGTGAGTGTCGGCTTAATAAATATTATGTGCTAGTGCCAGTGAGTGTTTGTACACTGAAAGCCAAAAATCGAGTATACGCAGGGTGGCCCAGCCTTAAGAAAGCTGCTGAGAATAGCAACAGGTATGCGCAAGATTCTATCTTATCTATTTACACACAGACTCCTCTATTAAGTGGTTGTAGTCCTTGCAGTCTGCTTAATATTTCCCATTTATTGGTTCCTATTAGAAATATTCTTTCTACTTTTGAAACCACAAGAATATATTTTGGTAAAGATTGTTTAATTTTCTTAAAGCATTTCTTGTATTTATTTTTGCAAACAAAAGAAAGAATTCAGCATAAAACATGTTTTAGTGCAAAGGAAGCTATTCCCCAAACATAATTCTGTGCGAATTCAATTTCTTTCTCACACATCTACCCAAAATATTCGTATCCTTTTAGTACCACAGAAAATATTCAGCAATTTCCCAGACTCGTAATTTCCACTTGCTTTATTCGCACAATCCTCCGCAATGTCTGCAAGTCATTTAGGAAGCCCTTTTCGCTATCCGCCAAATCCTAAGCCACAACAACTTCGTGGCCTGCACTCGACTGTTAATTAATGCCAACCAAGTTTCCGCTGCAGCATATTTAAAAACGCATTAGCTCTTTTGGCCGCCTTTGCAGCTTAGGCTGTCATAATTCTAACCAAGCATTAGGGAGCATAAAGAGCGCAAATATCCTTCACACACACATACGCGAATTCAGCGGCGTATTCTTGTAATTACTTTAAATGCAAACGAACTCGCTGCTCTGTTCTTTTCTGCTGTTGAATGGAGGAGCATTTTCTTTTTTTCGGTCGGTGTCCTCGGTCGGCATGTGTTGCTAATTTCATTTTGCGGACAAAGTCACAGTGGGTGAAATTTTCTGGTGGGTCTACGTATGGCCACTGCCATTAAGTTGTAGGAGTCACAGACCGAAAGTTTCATTCACGTCCAGGGATAAGGGCGATCCTGCCATTTCCACATCCACCTGACATAGCAGGACACTTGCAAAAAGTGCTTTTTGTTCTTGAAATGGGTAATAAAAACCATGCACATTTTTTCTGTTAAGTCTTTCAAAGGTAAATCTCTTTTTGTGATGGGAAAAGTTAGTTTACAATGTGATATGAACAACAACCACAATATTACAATGATTTTTAAAATCTATAAAAATGTGTTTTGTTGTTGCATTAATCAGTTTTGTTGTTCGATAAAATATTGTAAAATATTTTGACCAATATTTACTCTTCCACTTATTACATTACTCGTTTTCAGCTATACATTAGAACCAAATTAGACGCAACAAGGAATCATTATTTAAGAAACTTTCTACAAAAGCATGAATATTAGAAAGACCGAAAGCTTTTAGAATATTAACCCCTTCTGCTTGCATTTCTATATCCTACCCTTGGGGGCATATTTTTCTCGAGTGTAATGATGATGAGACCGACTACCTCCCGCTGCCGGAATGGCCCATTGTTGTTTGTTGTTTTAATGTTATTTGCCTGGCTGCCATCGTCGTCTTTGGAATCTGTCACCGTTTTACGTGACAATACAGCTGCAACTTTGTGTCCTTAGGTCTGTGGGTGTGATGGTGATTGTGTGGGACTGCGGCGGACCGCTGCGGTGATGCGGTGGCTCATGAAGTGGGTGGTTTCCAGGTGCTTACGGTATTTCTTGGCCGCTCTGCTGACCCTAAGCCAGCTTTCTGTTGTCGCATTGCGTGGCTGCTTACCTGTGGCCTCACCTGACAAAACTTTAACACAAAAATTTCATTTAAAAGTTTCGCTCTCGCTGCCTTTTACCTTCATTTGGACCTACGCCAGATGCTTAAAACTTTCTGTCCCGGGGCATGGCAAAGGAAGGCCCTTCCATTCTTTTATGGCAACTTTAGCAAATGGACATTGAGATCGTTGTATGACTTTCGGTATTTTCTCCGTCATAAATATCGCTGGCAATTTCTCCCTGTCCTCGGACACTCTATTAGCATTGCCGAGGCAAACTCGCCTCCTGCTGAGGACATTTTTAATGTGCCTTCTCCTTTGAAGTTGGGAAAATTTGTTGTGAATGTTTGCGCTGAAAGGAAAATGTCGGAACTTGCTTTTCGAGATCAAAGTTTGCGATTTACCTGAACTATTTTGTATACACGCGCCTGCATTGTTGTAATTAAAGTTAATTTTAAATCTTCAATTGTCGGTTGCGTCTCGTTAAATTCCAAGAATTTTTGCTGTTTTTCCATTTATATACGGTTAAATTGGTTTTTCGGTTTACGCCGAGTAAACAAAAGCCAGTAAATTGTTAAACTGCGTTTTTTACTGCCATCTCAGCTGCACTTAATACGAATATTTATTTACCATCTGTTGTTTTCTCTGTTTGTTGTTACATCTGTCGTCGCGTGACTAATTAAACTGTTTAATTGCATAAATTAAAGTCACGATTGGCATTGCTGGGCATTGGGTATTTGTTTGACATGAAAAGTTGGGCAAATATATCAAGCATGTGTGCGTGCAAATTTCATGATTAAATTATATAATCAAATGCAATAGTCATTTAAATTTCCCGAAATCGTGGAAATTAAACCATTGCAAGAAAGGTATTAAAGTATTAATAGGATATAGGAAATTGCCAAGTATAAATTTGTTATGTAACTTTATTTTGATTTAATATTGATGAAGTGTTGATATATCAGTGACTAATAAATATGCATAATTGATATACATTTAAAATACAATTAATATTTTAAATTGCCTTACTTTAACGATTCGGTGTTGAATTCCCAGTTAGAATTGTAATATTATTCCTCTGAAAAAAAAACAAGCCCAGTAAAAAAACACGTAAATCGCTTTAACTTTGTTCAATATTTATCGACTGGGAATTGATAAGGCCTCGGGTGCATTTCTGTAAAACGACACGCTGTGAAGAACTCGAACTGAAATCGCTCCCTTCAACCGAAAGGGATTCTTTAAAGCACTGCCGTCGCTTCATGACGCACTAAACACTTATTAGACGTTACAGGACGAGGCCCAGGACACGGGATACGGAACTCCGGACAGGGACCCCAGGCAATGGAGCGTGCTGCTAAGGAGTATTCAACTAATAAAAATGTCAAAACGCATGAAGCTGATGACAAGTAAAGCAAAATGACAGCATAGCCGGCTGGGAGAATGGCAGGACTAACGTCCTTCCACAGAAAGAAATATCGGAATTACCTTAGGTTTTTCAAACAAGATATGACATTTAGGTAGGGAATGCTGATAAAGATAAAATTATTGATTTATCGGTTTATTAGATTCAGATTAACATTATTTCACATATTCATAGAAAGCAATTTCGATTTACATTTCTCTCTCTGTAGATCCTGGGCCTTAGATACAGAACAACTTGAATTCATGGCTTGTCGCATGCGGGCCTCGATGTCCCAGTGCGGGCAGCAATTTGCCACACCTGCTGGGAATGTGTGTGTACGTCTATGTGCCTTCTTTCACCACACCACCCTACCACACCTCACATCAACCGGGTTCTTCCACCCACAATCCTAGGTTTTTCCCAGCTAAACTTTCACAATTAAAACTTGGCACTTTCCCTCGTTCGCTGCGCACGCACGATTCGCATTCTCGCATCGCAACGCAACGCTTCAATTTTGGTCCGCTCCCCCACTGTTTGTTTATTGGATTAAGTAGATTTATCATATCAGATGGCAAACGCTGTCTAAATTTATCCACAGCAAAACTGCCTCCACCATTGCAGAAACACATATCCAGCGCCGACGACTTCTCGTTTTTAATTACGCTGTTTTTTCCACTGAGATCACGTACAAAATAAAAAAAGAGCAGAAAGAAATGCGTTTACTGGCAAAAGTTTTCTTTGCTACGTGTCCTGCCAACAGGCATTTTCAATAAATTTTCCTATGCTCGTGGAATTAATAAAAACACAGAAAACTTTTGCACTTGGCCTAGCTGCAGAAGGTCAAAGCTGAGAATGAAAGATAAAAAAAAGGTAAAACAAGTTTAAAACTTAAGCAAAGAAAATAATTACAAGCTCCAGGACTTGTAGAATATTATAAAAACATTTAAGGCGTGAAAAATGGTATTTTCTTGGCTATTTTCTTGATATATTAGATATTCCTACATCAAACTTGTTTTCTTATATCTGGCTTTAATTATTTAAAATATATTTTCATGAACTGGCAGTACATTAAATTTCCAATTGATTCTTCCCCTGTGGAATCTACTCTTGCTTCTTAGTAAAGGAGATTAAGACTTTGTTAAACAACTATATATCATTCGGTCGCTTTCATGTGACACGGTCGCACGACATCAAACATACCAAAAACGCGGCGTATGCGTCATATTAAGTATACGCCCACGCGACACAAGCTCTGTGTGCTGGCCCCAATTTCTCTTCGGAGCTCGAGGCTCGTCTGTTATTTAAACACAACAATTAAAACGATTTTCCCAACACAGAGCAGCTTTGTTGCTACTATTTATTTAGACGCAGGCATGTAGACATAACATTCAGTCCAGGAACAGGAACAAGGAGCACAAAACTCTGGCTGAAGGAGAAACAAATTGAATGAACACGCGCCCCGAAAAGCATTTAATAAACACAAAAGCAACAGCAGCAGAAACAGAAACAGAAACAGTGCCAGAAACTGATGTTTAGACCCGAGAGCGAATCTTGACTGTGGCTGTGGCCCTACTTTTATTTTTTTTTCGGCTTGGGCTTAATGAAATGTAATGATGAGTGGGCGGCCCCAGGGCCCAAAGGGGCGTGGCAGAGACATCTAGACACACACACACACAAAGAAAATGGAAGGAGAAAGTGAGAAAATGGCAGGCCTAGACAGCAGTTTTGATGTAAACTGGAAGTGTAACAAATAACAATGGCAAACTGCGTGGAAACAACAATGAAAATGGGGCTGGGGATTATGTTTATAGAAAGATGGAAGGGGATGGAAGGCACGCATGTACATATTGTTTGTTTTTAAATGTAATAATAAATATGTGTGAATGTACATAGGTATATTGTCGTTCTTTGTTCGACAACGGAAGAAGTTCGACAAATCACATCGAAAACTTTCACAAAATAAAAGAGCTTTCGCTT